GGCTCCCTGCTCAGCGGGAAGCCTGCTTCTCCCTCTCCCACTCCCCCTGCTTGTGTTCCCTCTCTTGCTGTGCCTCTCTCTGTCAAATAAATAAAAAAAATATTAAAAAAAAAAGAAAGAAACTAGCAAAAAGACAAATAAACTAAAACCAAAGCAAGCAGAAAGAAGATCATAAAGATTTAGAGTACAAACAAATGAAATAGAGAATAGAAATAATAATGAACACCAATGAAATCCAAAGTTAGGTCTTTGAAAAAAATCAACAAAAGTGACTTTTAGCTAGGCTGACAAAGAAAAAAGTAAAGGACTCAAGTTACTAGAATCAGAAATAAAAGAGAGGATCTGGAAACCAACCTCACAGAAATAAAAAGGATTGTAAGGAAATACTATGAACAATTATATGCCAACAAATTAAAAACCTAGACAAAATAGATGTATTTCCAGATAGACACAAACAACTGAAACAGAAGTAAGAAGAAATAAAAAATCTGAATATACCTAAAATAAAGAGACTGAATTAGCAATTTTAAAACTTCCCACAAAGAAAAGTCTGGGCCCAGGTGGCTTTACTGGTGAATTCTACACATTTAAAGAAGAATTAATACGAATCCTTCACATACTCTTACAAAAAATTAGAAGAATGAACATTTCCCGACTTATTCTATGAGACCAGTATTACCTGGATACTAAAACCAAAGACATCACAATAAAACTACAGACCAATATCCCCTATGAACATAGATGCAAATATCCTCAACAAAATACCAGCAATCCAAATCCAGATATATATATTAAACAGCATAACCAAGAGGGATTTTTCTCAGAAATGCAAGATTGGTCTAATATTTGGAAATCAATGTAATACATTATATTAATAGAATAAACCACAGAAACCACAATCATCTAAATAGATGTAGAAAAAATAGTAATTACTCATATCAATTACATGATGAACTAATAACATTTTGCATGTGTTGAGTTAAAATATAATACTCGAGTTAATTTCACTTGTCTCATTTTCTTTTTTTAGATGTGGCTACCAGAAAATTCCACATTACATATGCAGCTTGCATTTGTGGCTCACATTATGTATCTATGGGACCAAGATGATCTAGATGTATCTTTGAAGACCAGGACTCTAACAGCATTGGGTATCTTTTGTGCACAGCTCCCTGTATTACTTGCCAGAGGAGAAAAGTGAGACTGAGAATGGTTAACCTGCCCAGGTTAACAAACTCCACCCTGTAGGTATGAGAATTGATACTGGAATTCAGTTCTGTCCTTAAGCTAGAGTATGCCCTGTTTACATCCATTGTCTTCCTTAGGCATCAAGCCATTACCATCATTTATGTGCATGTTTTGGGTAATTGTTTCATTTTGTTGTTTTCTTTTTGCTTTTGTTATCCA